AAAAAAAAGGCCTGGATATTTCCAGTAATGTTAGATTCCAGGTCCTATAATTCCCAACCAACATGGCAAAGACTGGTAATTGAGAATTGTATAAACTGAGGTCTTCTTAGCTTTGGGGAGACAACTTTATAATCTACTTTTTCTTACCCTGTCGAGTAACGATAACGGCTACAGAAGAGAATGAAGTCAGCCCAGTTCTGATATATGAGATTCTTATTTAATGCATATTTAAAAGTATTGTGGTTGGACCTGCTCCCAGCTATCCTTTTAAGTAGCCTTCCTAGTACTCAATCTGGCAGTCCCCTTCAGTTAAACATCCGATTTTCCTACACTTGAGAGCACAGACTTAAACTGTTAACACAAATTTCATCTCTCCAGCGTTCCTACTCTAAAGCCCTTGCCATGATCTGATCTTGGTCTAATGAGTGAAGGCTCATTTTGTAGCAAAACAAACAGATATTGTCAGATTCTTTTCTGGTATAATTATATGACTGTGAATTTCCTACATAAGCATGCAGCTACACAGTTTCATTAGCTATTTGAGACACTGCAACATTTGTCAGGCTTTTGTTCCTGTTTGAATGTAGTGCAGAAATTCTAATTTAGATGTACATTCTGCATTGCTGGTTTGATCTTCTAGTGCCATCTCTTTGCAACAACAAAGAGTTTGCTGGTGTTTTCTGTTTTCCCCATCTCTCAGTAATCATTTATTCAACAGTTTTAAGTGCACAATACCATTTAAAATCCAGAATAATAATTCACTTTGGCATTCAATCTGTGCTTTGTGAAGAAAGGAAATTAACAGCCCAATTATATACTTGTTTACTCACTAGAATTAAGTTCATGGAATTACTGAGGCCTACTCCCAAATAAATTGTATGTGGAATTGCATTGTTAGGTTATACTATACTATTTAAATCCCATAATAAATAAAATGGGAATTTTAGGCCTTATGCTGGGAATCATATACTCCAAATAAGCTGACATCTATTATCTATAATGAAAACTGCCTTTTTCAAATTTGTATTTTCTTGGTTTTATGAGAATAGCAAAAGGGACCCAGGATCAATAAAATGACCAATCTTGACCAATAATTTCTGATTAATCTGCCATCTGACCAATTTCCTTCTGATTTCCCCTTCTATTGGTCAGAAGAGTTGAATTTGCTACTAGTATTTGCTAGGAATGGGTGATTTTTCCCCCCTATATTGCTGAATTTCAATTCCCAGCAACCCCAACTAGTTTAAAGATGATGCTAGAAGTTGACATTCTGCAAGAACTGGAGTGCTACTTCTTGTTCACCTCTGGATTTATGTTTATTGTTTTCAGCGAGGTTTGCAAAATCAGTACATATTATGAAACAAGTAGGACTTGTTATCCTTCAGCAGACTTTAGGTCTTCGTCTTCTCAAAAGATTTGTTTCAAGGTTTGGGCTATCTTCTTGGCTTGGGGCCAAGTTCCTCATTTAGTTCCCTTCTGTTACAAGCTGCTGGCAAGATTGTATTACGGCCAGTCCAGCATTTTAATATAAAACTGAAGCATGATCTTAGCAGCCACAGAAAGAGAACTATCAGCCAGCGACTCTGGGAATAAGAGTCACAGGTTGCCTTCTTTCTTGTTGTTTAGGCCCGTGATTGAGATGTGCATTCCATCGGTCTTGGATCCGACCTTGGCTCCCTCAGGCTGCCATGTGATTTCACTTTTTACCCAATACACCCCCTATTTGCTTGCTGATGAAAAACAGTGGGACCCCCGTGACCGTGAGGACTATGCCAATCGAGGTACCTAAACCCTGGCAGGGAGTAATCTTGGTATAAAGGGTAAATCTTGCATTTACCTAAGGAGTATCTTTCATTTGCAAGAATATCCCCCCCCCCCTTTGTACTCATGCAAACCTTATCACTATATCCTGGACAAAATGTTAATTCCTTTACTCTTTTAGAAGGATTTATTGCTCTTAGTTGCAGTTTCAGTACGCAGAGATAACCTCTGAGAACAGCCGTGTGCATTTCCATGATGAACAGGGAAGTTTTTGGAATGAACAGGAGCCTAGCAGCAACTGAAGGATGATTTAATCACAGAGCATCCATAGCTTTATGTTCTTGAAGGTTTGCATTCCAACCTGTCTAAAAGGTAGACGTTGGGGGGCCACCTAGATAAATGATGATTGATTTGCATTGAACCAAGAAACAAGTATTTTTATTCTATTCGGCCAATAACAAGACTGCCTTATATTATATCAGACCATGGATCCAACTGTTTAAGTGTCTTCAACAGTAACTGGGAGGAGATTCCAAGATTAAAGGTAGAGGTTCTCCAGTTCAACCTGGACATATCAGAGATTAATTTGGGGGAGTTCTGTTCTACTCCTGATTTATGGTCCCTACCAGATATCTTCTCTCTCTGTAGTATTTGACAGTGTTGAAGCCTACGCACCTGGGTTCAAGGCATCCATCATTGGCATAGATGTTTTAACACCTCCAGACCTTGAGCAGATCTTTGGTCTACCTGGTGGGGTATGTATTTACTGAGAATCACTCCCTATCAATTTAGGAGACTATATACCTTAATTTTCCCAGTAGCCTTGCCTAAAATCCATCCACCCTCTGAAGGCTCATTTGATAAATCATCGTAAGGAAACTTTTTGATCCTTCCTGCTTTTGATTGTAAAATGGTCTTGGAAATCTATTCTATCTGCTATTCTTAGAATTTGAGTGCCACAGGATAGCTATTCCCTGTCTTTCTGCTGGGAAATGGATAAGAAGCCCTATCTCTTCAGCAATATCTCATTTGACACTGCCTCTGGCTTTCAGAATATATTCCATGGAGCCATGTCTTTGGATCAGTTATATTTTGCCCGACCAGTGCCAGCTTACTCCAGTTACCAGTCTCCAATCCAAGGCCTGTACCTCTGTGGAAGTGGTGCTCATCCGGGTATGTCTGGGAGGGGTAGTGTGAGTAGTATATGCAAGACTGCAATAAAAAAGACATAAAATGTGTTTGCCCATAGTGTCATTATGGGAAGCTGCATTTCTGCAATATAATCCTAGAAGGGGCTGCTAGTTGGGTTGAAAGAGTTGGGGGTCATTTGTTCGGGCCTGCCTGTCAATCACAAATATTTCTGAGAGTACTGCCATTTTACTTTCTGTTGTAGTCAAACCTCTTTATTCCTTCAATGCCTCAATTTTCTTCCCAGGAGGAGGTGTAATGGGAGCAGTGGGACGCAATGCTGCTAGAGTAGCCTTGGAAGACTTCAAGAATCTGTGAACCAGTAGCAGGATTTATTGCATTGGCTCAAAATGAGAGAAATCTGGCATTCTCCAATCCAAGCCTTTGAAATGAACTCTCTTATCTGGCATTTGGGGGCCTGTTCTACTAGAATCTTCTCATATTTTTTTTCATCACAAATTACTCAATATACCACTGCGATACATTTCTCCTGGAGTAGCATGGTCACTAAGCAAGTAATAGCCACTGCTATTTCATGTAGGACACAAAAGATGCTATGAACACAGTAGCTGAGCTTTTCTGGAAATCTATTTTGACTTTATAACCAACTAACATACTTTTCATATTGTATTATTTAATCCAGAGTTTGTCCCTCTATCTTGTTCCACAACTTATTCCTCTTCTTTGGACCATTGAAGGGATGCACTCTGCTCTTTTTTTCTACAGTTAGAGGAACATTCGGAGTCATGAGTGAAGGAAAGCCTGTGGGGTAGCTTTCTCTCTGGCTGAATAATCCAATTGTACTGAGGTTCGTTAGTTCAGATTGTCTTGGACTGCTCTTTAGCGATTTCTTTTCTTCCAAAGCTCCCAGGTGTGCTCTTTATCTTGCTTTTTGCTTCTTGACCTGTGAAAATACAGCCATTCTGAAATGCTGCTCCTGAGAACCAGCTTATGGCGTAGATGAGTCATGCTTTCCAGAAGATCAAAACCAAGGCCAGGTTGTTACAGTATCACCTCAGCAGAGGGTTAAGGAAGGTCTACTGCCATTCATGTCATCTAACCTTGTGCTCCCCATCCAAAGCCAGATATGCCTGACTGAGCCAGAGTCCAAAAGAGTCATATTTCTTCTCACTAGCAAAAAGCAGCTGCTTGCAAACACCTCTCTGCAATCTGACTGCAAATCCAGGCAGGACGTGGCCAGAAGCCAACTGCCCTTGCTGATTCGGCCTCGGTTGGATTTTCTGCACCAGCTAATCTCAGTCACAAAGCATTGGAGCCAGAATACTTGGCTGCTATCCATTCCATTGAAATCAGTGGGAATAAATCAGTTTAAATCTAATACTCCACCTCAGCTTACGCATGGATTGCAAGCAAAATGTATTGACACAATAAGGAATGTCAGTACCTTCCCTCCCTGTATATGATGAATGAGTTTTATATGAAGAACTGATTATAAAATCATTGCCTACTAGAAAATATCCAGAGATTAATAAAAGGTTTGAAAAACACCTTCCTTTCCCCAATCGTCTTTTGTAATACTGTAATATTTCTCTTGTTTTATGGGAGCACATCAATCACGGGCGAGCACAGACAATGCAGGTTATGGTGTTTGTGGATGGGGTTGCCAGTGGCCTCATGTTACTCTTTCTCAACTGCAGCTTATGAGCAACAGCCATTCATTTCGATGTGGTTTCCTTAGGAACTGGCAGAAACATCAATTGAAGTAAATGCAAGTTGTATGCAGCAATAGCTGGTAGATTTTTCCAAGAAGGAAATTATCAAAGGCTGACAAGATTGTTATATAAAGCCACATAATTTCTGAGACATCATATGAAATGATGAAGCATATTACATAAAATAAACAGAGCCTTCTACTTCCCAAACATTGTCAACCCCAAATATCCTGTCTCAGTTGTAATGCAACCCATACAACTACTCCCTATGTATCACCACTGCTCGTTCACATTGGGAATATTTCCTTGTTAACTCTAAGTCCCCCCACCATGCTGTGCATCGTAGTAGCTGCAGTTACAAGAATTAGTGCAGGAACAATTAGCTTTTCTTGTAAATGTAAATGTTTATTTATATGAACATTGTAAAGGGCCCCATTTTATATTACATCCCATAGGAATCATCTAGTCAAGAATGGATGTTGTAGCAGAGGAACTTTTCAGAACTGAATTGAACCCAGAACAAACATCACAGTGGAAAGAATCAAAAACTGGCCTTCACTTTTCTGCTAAGACATGATTAGTTTAATCACAGTTAATTGAATAAACTGAAAGTAGATAGATTCACACAACTTATATGGCACAGATTCTAAGGTCATTCAGCCTGACAGCTCATCACTGCTTCACACAAGTTAATGTATTTCACCATAATCCAAGAGACCACAAAGTCTGTGCAACTTTCTCGGCTAGACCAAAGATGGCCACAAGAGGGAAGCATTGTTACTTAAATTTAGGGGGTTTAAAAGAGCAAGTACAGAGTAACCCTGTTCTAATGCAATTCCATAGCCTTACTAATGCAGCTGTATTTCTCATTTGTTGGTGCCGTGTTCACTTTTTGCACAGCTATTTTGGTATTACTGGTAGTATCTGGCAGTGCTGTGTCCACAGCATCTAGCTTGCAGCAAGGTGTCTAATGATGGACATATAGGATCTGGCCCAGCCTGAAGCTAAAACATGGGTCATCTGCCATCGCCCCTTTTCCATAAACAGAAAATGCTAACAATGGAAACATTTATAATGGATAATAATACTTGGTACTGATGTCCTAAGTTAAAGGCAAAATCCAGTTTTCAGTACAATTCCCAGAAAAGATGTGTTTACATAGATTGCTAAGCCATGAGTTGACTAATGATGGTTTAGTAATTACATAACTGGTTAGTTCAGAGTATGATAAACCCTGAGTCATGATTTATAAAGCATAGCAATGCTCAAGTTCATTCTCTAAATATATTTTCCTTTTGCCTTCAGTGTCAGCCCATGAAGATGAAAATCTTAATATACTAAGGAAATATACATTAGGTTGAAGTGTCACCCTCCACTCTTCTGGCTGTAACTCTCCAGGGTTTCTGGCAGAGAGCATCTTTTTCTTTGTCTGACTTGATCCCTTTATCTTAGAGATGCCAAGAGCTGAATCCAGAACTTCCACATTAACTATTTTTGAGCCATGATCTCTCTGTGTTCTTGCTGTAAACAACACTAGCATAAGAGAGGCCTAGAACAGGCCTGGGCAAGTCAGTTTCATCAAGACATGGAGACAGACCTACGTGATTTATTAAGGTGTTTCATTTTGCCCTACCTGCCATCAGCATCCCAGGAGAGGGAGACATGATGTAATCACATAAACCACGGAACTTTCTATTTGCATCAAGCATCCTGAGGCAAATACATGTCATATTTGTATCCCTGTGTTGCTATTTTGATGTCATGGTTTGTTGCATATGCTTTTGTTAAACTGCATTTGCAGAAGCTTCTTAGTTGACTACTGGAAAGGCTGAAAAAGGCAGCCACAGCAATGCAAACAGCACACTGCAGGAATTTTGCCTCCCTTTAGAAGCAAAAAGGCCATGCTGTTTTCTGCAGAAGCTGCTTAAGAAGACAGCTGACAGCAGCAATTATTTCCCTGTGCTTCTTTTCCAAATCAGACTGGCTGATGGAACTCACTGCTGTGTTTGTACAACATGCTTAGTCAGGTCAGTTAAAGCTTTAAATAACTGCATTTGCACATCATGTAAAAGCTGGCAAATGTTAACATTGGTTAGGCTTCCTTGTGGCTTAACATGCTGTGTAAATCCAGTCATTTTGGGTACATTGTGCCAACGTATAAAATGAATTAACCAATTTAAGTGAGTTTCATGAGTGCAGCCAGAGTTCCTTGGTCATCTCACTCAGCAGATTGAAAACAAAAGTTTCTTCCTGGTTCTTCATCCCTTTATGTATTTCTTGAGACTTATTTGCACATGCTATTTAGAAGGGGCACAGTCTCTTTCGCCAGAGGCAATGAATAAAAATTAAAAGCAATACTAGTTCGTTTACTCTACACATCAGAGATTATCCATATTGTATCTGCCAGGTTTCTTCCAATCTCAAGAGGCTGTCCTGGCATTCTGCTCCAGGTTGAAGGGTTTCTCATGTGTTTGACCTCCTCTGATTGCAGTGAGGAGAGTCATAGGTTTGCACATAAATGTTTAACATTATCCAGAAATGCTTCATAGATAGATGGATATGAATACAGATGGCTTCTTATGCAGCATTTCCGGTTGACAAATAAAAAGCAGGGGTGCAAAGGGTTAGAAGTTTTCTTACTTCTGGCTTCTGTCAGGAAGAAAATGGTTACTCTGGAGATAGGAACTGGATCAGATTGAGCCACAATCTATGACAAAAAGGAGGGTGAACCTGCAGCCTCGACACTTATGAAAAGTGCTTGAAAACTACAATATTACTCTGAGATAATGCGTGGTTTCTAATGGAAGAGAACACTTTCCAAGCTACCCCTCACTCTGCCAATCAAACAGCAGCCCAACCTGCTGCTAGAAAGGATGCAAAAGAAAAGGCAGATTAGCAATAGCACTTAGACTTATATACCGCTTCACAGTGCTTTACAGCCCGCTCTAAGCGGTTTCCAGAGTCAGCAGATTAGAGGAATATATGCAGGAATTAATCTATAATAAGGAAAAAAGGGAGCGAATGTAGTTTTTTATGATCATAATTTAGAAAGCAGGATCACTCCTTAAAAATAAATGCAGGAAGTCCATAACCAATAAATGAAAGTCCTCCTTTATGCAGCACGATAAAACTGTGGAATTCACTGTAATCAGATGTGGTAACGGCTGCCAATACACATTGTGTTCAAGGGAGACTGGCCACATTTCTGGAGGATTAGGCTACTAATCACAGGCAGCACACTTTTAAACATCCTTTCTCAAATTTATGGCTCAGGAATTCTGGGAGTTGAAACCCACACATCTTAAAGTTGACACTTTTGAGGAACGCTGCGTTAAAGAGCACCTTTGGAGACAGCAGTAAAAGAGAGCTAGGGTCTGGGTACTGCGTGAGAGACGGCGTAGGACAGTGTTTCTCAACCTTGACAATTTTAAGGCATGTGGACTTCAACTCCCAGAATTCCACAGCCAGCATTGCTGGCTGTGGAATTCTGGGAGTTGAAGTCCACATGCCTTAAAATTGTCAAGGTTGAGAAACACTGGCGTAGGACATGAGCCCCTTCTTGGCTTCTGGCCCTGGGGCTCTTTCGCGCCCCTCAGCCGCTGCCCATTTCCCCTTCGTCGACTGGAAAGACGGGCGCAAGCGGCCCACCCTCGCCCCCTCACTTTTCCTCGCTGAAACAAGGGGTTCCCACCCTGTGGCTCGGCCTCGAAGCCATTTCCGCCGTGTGACGCTTCGCCCCATCGCTGGAACTCCCACCAGCCCTGAAATAAAAGC